ATGAGGTCTCGCTGCCCAGGCGGGTCTTGAACCCGTGGGCTCAGGCAATCCACTCACCTCAGCCTCCCAAAGGCAGGGGATTATAGGCTGAGCCACTTGAGCCCGGCTGAAGGTGAACTTTAACACAGGAGCTGGTTCTAAACTAGAAGCGTGCTAAGGTGACCCGAGACAGGGAACACCAGGCGATGCCTGGAGGCAGTGACCTCCCAGCCAGGAGCAGAGGGCTGCCTAAGCACAGCCGTCTGAATAATTATGTGGTGGCATGCTCCTAGATGAACTAGAGACCGGAGGTGGGGTGGGGAGAGTGGGATGTGAAAAGGAGACATGGGGGGCAGAAAGGCCTCAGAAGGCTGAAAAAGTCCTATCACAGAGGGCTCTGGGGACAAGCTAAGGAGCTGACCTCAATTCTACAGGACAAGATCCTGGGACAAGAGGCACTTCACAGGCAGCAAGCACTGACAGACTGAAATAATGGCTTCCACATGCATGTACCCTTTAAAAATGTATGTAGGCTGGGCACAGTGGCTCATGCCTGTAATGCCAGTACTTTAGGAGGCCAAGGTGAGAGGATTGTTTGGGCCTGGGAATTCAAGACCAGTCTAGGCAACACAGTGAGACTTCGTCTTACAAAAAAAGTACTGGGCTTGGTGTTGTATGCCTGTAGTTCCAGCTACTTGGGAGGCTGAGATGGATGGATCACTTGAACCGAGGCTATGATGAGCTGTGAGCATGCCACTATACTCTAGCCTGGTGACAAAGTGAGACCCGACTCAAAAAAAAGCATGTGGATGCTCTACAGCTGATATGTAAACTATTAGATAGTTCATATTGCTTACTGCCACCTTATCCATCGGAGAGTAAAAGAAATACAAATACCACAACCACACAACGGACTGTTAGATTTGAAAACTGGGGAATTACCATAAGATTTTGAGGGTGGGGGAAGTGACAAAAGTCAGATTTATTTTAGAGTGAACACAAGTAAAAGTGCAGAGAGAAGATTGGGAAGGAGAAAGTGCAATTGCAGTAGTGAACAGGGGAGGTAAGAAACTGGGGCACAGTTCTGGGCACAGAGTGGTGCTGATAGACACTCCAAGTGATGGCTCCCAACTGTGCACTGTGTGCCACTGTTCCACAGGTGCCACACCCACAGCAGACCTAGGGGGTGAAGCAGAGCTCTAGCAAACCCGGTCTACCGGGCCCCAGGTCCTGCTGAGTCTGAGTGCACAGGTGAGGTCCTCCCAGCAGCCAGCCCCACAAAAACACTGCCAGAGCCTCCCCAGCACAGCTCCAAAGGAGGCTCCCCAACTGAGGCATTCTGCAGCCTGAGAATTCAATGTATAGTTCCATTTTAAAAAGAGAGAATGCACAATACAGAGAGATGTGTAAACTCTGGATCCATTTCTCCCCCTAGCACCAAGGCAAAGAAATGTCCTTAAGAAAAACTCTCACATCATAAAGGCAGGGATTACTATCCATTTGTTCACCATGTGTCATTCAAGCCTAGAACAGTACCTGGCACATAGGAGGCACTAATTTAAAAAAACAATAATTCATGGTCTTTGCAAGCAAGAGGATTTTACATAAAGTGGACAAACCTTTATCTGACACTCTGAGGTACTGTAGTTCTACATCTGTGTATTTTTCAAACTTAGAGAACCAATAACATAATTTTATATTCTGGTTATGAGGACTGTCCAGCTACAAAGAAGTCTGAGGACTATGGCATTGTCATCTTGGGGACCTGGAGTATAGACAAGCCTAGAAGATATTCCTGCCAACAGAACCCCAGAATCTTCCCCTTCGCTTACCTTTGGGGTCACCCACTCCTTCCGGTTGGGTGTCTGAGTCTTTACCATGCACTTGGTCCAGGCAGTGACGTCCCCAGTACAGTAATAGGCATCGCTCTTGAAGACCAGTTGGCCTGAGCACTCCCCACAGGGAAGAAGGGCACCAAACACTATGCCATCGGCTACTCGGTCCAAAATCTGAAGTCAGTGGAGAAACACATCAGAGAGGAAAGGGGGGACTATGAAAAAAGACATATACCAATGTGGGATGGAAGAACTTGCACAGATCTCACTTACTTAAAAAAAAAAAAAAAAAAAGAGGCTTTCCTGGGGCTCTTAACAGCCTCCAAACAGTTGGTTTACAACAGAGCTTGGATTTCTGTACCTTAAGAGACCTTATTTCCCAGTGACATTTCTGCAGCTCTCCCACCCCTCAGTGACCTAGAAATAAAGGAAGAGCCCAGAGCATCGACTGGTATTGCACAAAATACAGCATGCCAAGCTCAACTCCAGAGAACACTGGCAGGGAAGGGCCAGTTGGGGACACTAGTGGATGCTGGCATGCCACTCCTCAGCAGGAGAGTCTGCTATCTCCATAGGCCTGGCAGCCCCTGGGAAGTTTAGGCAGAAGGCAGCAGAGAAAAGCCCCAAGGCCAAAGTATATGCATGAACATAAAAGGCAAATACACAGCTCACCAAATACACAGTACTCACTAAAATTCTAGAACAAATGTTTACACGTGGCAGATGTCTAGTGGGGCCTGTGAAAGCCAGCCCCACCACCCCAGAAAAATGGTGACCATGATGGCAGTGATGACCGTGCAACACAACCACGAATTTTCACTCCTCGCAATTAATACCAGCATGTGTCCACACGGAGGGCCTCCCACACTCCACTGGGAGAGTTACTCTGCAACGACCGGGTCGGCCTGACACGCGTGTCCCACTTAACACAAAGGCAGCTCACCGCCGACTCCCCAGAAGGCACTTGCTGCTTGTTGAAGATGAGCAGCTCTTTCAGGTCATTCGTTGAACACACTTTCTTTAGTTCATCCTTGATGTTCCAAATAAGGTCATTCTGGGCCTATGGAAAAGACCCAGCAGCTGAGGACCAGCTCTTTTCAAAGTAGGAAGTACAGCCGCAAGATGAGCCCTGGTCTTGCTGAGCCTCCAATTACACACTTGTGCACTGGCTGAACTGTCCCCCCAAAGTTGGTCTGAATAACACAAGATTTCACTCCCTGACATGCTACTGCGGAAACCAAATTAAATTCTGGAATGTTCTGACAGAACACTGTAGAAGGTGAGAAGGAAACCACAAGGATTTAGGGAAGGGTGTAGCCGAGGCATCAAGGTCCCTGGAAGCAGCCCCTCAGAAACCAATTCCAGGAGTCACAGGTAAGAACCCAGAAGCCCTAGGCTGGGCCCAAGGCCCATGTTTATCAACAGCTAAGGCAGTGGGGTGGGAGGATGTGCAGCTGTTCTCCACCAATCTTAGGGAGAGTGGAACAATTCCCAAATTTTCTTAATAGTGTAACACAATTAATATCATTTCATTGAAAATTGAATTTTGTTTTCTTTTTTCGAGTTGGAGTCTCACTCTGTCGCCCAGGCTGAAGTGCAGTGGCATGCTCATGGCCACTGCAGCCTCAACCTGCTGGACTCAGGTGACCCTTCTGCCTCAGCCTTCCAAGTAGATGGAACTATAGGCATGTGCCACCATGCCCAGCTAATTTTTTGATTTATTGTAGAGATGAAGTCTTGCCAAGTTGCCCAGGCTGATCTTGAACCCGTGGGTTCAGGCAGTCCTCTCACCTCAGCCTCCCAAAGTGCTGGGATTATAGTCATGAGCCACAGCACCCAGTTAAAAATGGAAATTTCAATCTTTAATATTTATTAAGTGACTACTGTTTGTTAGATTCATGCCATCTCATTTATTCTCATAACATTATATAAACCTTGCTGAGGAAGGTTTTAGCCTCCTCATTTTAGAAGCCAGGGTGAGTATCCTCTCTCTTCAGGACAATGGGCAAGTTATTCACCATCTCAGCCTCAGACCCCCCACCTCTGTAATATGGAGATAAAGACACCCCCACAGGGTTGCCATCAGCACCAAAAGTGAATATGAACTCAACTGAAAAAGCTATAGGCACACGTTTCTACCCGTTTCCCAGCTTCATTTTTAAGGGCTCTCTCAGGAACAAGGTCCCTCCCTGGTTCTTCCCTGTAGCCCACAGCACACACCGGATACCACTAATGGAGACACGGGAGCATGAGGAAAAAATCCAGTCATTTATAAGGTTAAACAGAAGAAGCAGAACCATTTCACCTATGTCACCAAAGATGGGAAGCCAGAGAAACAGACGAGTTCAGTGGGGAGGCTGAGGGAAAATTTTATTTTTCTGATTGTCTTTACATCTAACATTAGGGAGGGAGAACACCAAACTTGCAAAGTGGCACCATGGCTCCTGCAGCCAGTTTTGGTACACAATGAACTTTTTTTTACCGTAAGACAAATGCACCAAGTTTGTGTTTCATATTTAGCAACTGGAACTAGATCAGAAATTGCTCTGATTTTTATACCACCAGCAAAATCTGAATACTCATACAAAGACCCGAGCAGACACTTCATGGAAATCATGTTCTCAAAGAGACCAACTATTCTCCCCCAATTTCCCACACACTCAGCATTTTCTGATTAGTGATTTTTATCTTGCTGCAATACACATGTAATCAAGACAGGGATGAATCTCTCTGGTCAAGGATCACTGATTTAACGGGTAGCTTTCTCCTGTCACCATATGACTTTTATTCCTTTTTTTAAACGAGGGACCTTCATTTTAATAATGAGGAAAGGCCAGGTGTGGTGGCTTACACCTGTAATCCCAGCACTTTGTGAGGCCGAGGAAGTTCAAGACCAGTCGAGGCCACATAGTGAGATCTCATCTCTACAGAAACACCAAAAAATTAGCTGGGTGTGGTGGTACACACTTGCAGTACCAGCTACTTGAGATGCTGAGGCAGGAGGATTGCCAGAGTCTAGAAGGCAAAGGCTGCAGTGAGCTGTGATTCTGCCACTGCACTCCAAGCTGGATGATAATGAGACGGGAGGGAGGGAGGGAGGAAGAGAAAATACAGAGAAAAACTTCCTCCAAGCCATTTGTCTATGCTAAGAATCTTTGGCATCCTTAAATTTAATATTCAGGCCGGGCTCGGTGGCTCAGCCTGTAATCCTGTGCCTTTGGGAGGCTGAGGTGAGTGGATTGCCTGAGCC